GGGAGAATCCCCCCAGACCCCCTTGGGTTGGGTCTTCAGCACTTGTGCCTTTTTATACAGTTCAGCTTTGATTCCATCATCTCATTAAACCTTTTTTAAAAGCATACTTTAGTTCTGTGAAGGGATATATGCACTGTACTTCACTTTTATTAATATTGTAGACTATGCTGAAAAGCGTATATATTACAGCACGATTCTTTGTTGAATAGATTTGAGTGCTTCAAAATGTTTGGTCGCGATGTATTGAGCAAGTAAAAAGTGGGTCCCGAGGCCTGACCAGTTGAGAACCAATGATCTACACCACCATATCAGTTATGGTTTTTACAGGGCTTCTAAGCATTTATAATTATCTTTGCTTCATGCAGCAGCTCTGTAAATAGTTGATTGTGTTGGAGTGTTTGTATGTAATAATTGTGAATCGTTTGTTTTTTTATGGGCTACAACACGTTTTTTTTTTCCAAGAACACATCATTGATGATTCTTTGAATGTGCTCTCCCCAGGTTTATGTGTCACAGAGGCCAACATTGTGACCTATTTTCCATGTCAGACCAAGCGGGAATCTGGAACACAATCATGTTTCTGAAATGTGCCTGTATTGTTTAGTCATCTGCACGCTTCTCAGAAAAATATATTCTCCGAATCTGTCATCTTAAAAAATGTAACAATGTTATTTTCAGTTATAAAAAATATGTTTTTCTTATTAGTGGGCAACCTCACGAATGGAGATGGGAGCAAAAGAGAAGAACCAGCAACTCTATAAACCATGTAGTAATGGTAAACAAGTTCTATTTTAATATTTCTCACTCATAACTGCTCTATCACTTTGACAAAGAGCAAATGCATGTCTTTTTTTTGTTCTCATTGTAGGAATCCTAGCCAAAAAACCACCAACGTCCTTGCAGCAGGATCTCCAGGAGCTCCGTGGTTCTGCCAGCTGTCCGCGCTCAGAGCCTCAGTTTGAGATGGCCGACATTTTCTTCTTCTGCCGGAGAGGTGTGGAGAGCATCCTGGACGACGAGGTGACCAAGCGCTTTTCTTCCCAGGAACTGGATAGCTGGAACTTGTTGACTCGCAGCAACTACAACTTCCGTCACATCAGTCTGAGACTCACGGTCATCTGGGGCCTCGGAGTGCTCATCCGCTACGGAGTGCTGCTGCCTCTCAGGTCAGATCACAGCCAGGTGATGGGGTCGAGGGAGTAATAAAGTACATCTCATCGTGCAAAAACTAGTTCAGTCAATATATGTAAGACTGTACCCAATATCTTTTTAGATGTGAGGCTTCTATTGAGGTTTTGGAATTAGCTGTAAATATATGTCGCCATATTTCTGATCTCATCACCCTAGATATATATATATCCTTTATTTAACCTGGTAAAGATTATATATATATATATGGAATATAATTATACTTTATTTGACTGCAGTGAAGTTTAACATAACAATCTGATCTGCTTTCCTCTGCAGGGTTACTCTGGCAGTCACTGGCATCGGTCTCCTTGTAGTTCTGACTACTTTGCTGGGCTTTTTACCAAATAGAGAGTAAGTTTCCCACAATTCTCAGTAACAAGTCAAGGTCCCTTTAACAAGGATAGAAACTAAAGCTACAAGCTACAAGCTACATGATGCATATATTGGAACCAAATTATAACCTTGAAGAGTGCACCCTAAGGGGACTGGAGTAATTGTTGTTATGCTGCATGTGTTTAGGTTAAGGTTCTCCCTGAGTGAGAAGATTCATCTGATGTGTCACCGCATCTGTGTGAGAGCTCTCACAGCAATCATCACTTATCATAACAGGTACAGTATGTTCGATATTATGAAACAAAACCAGTTCAGACAGAGATGGAATTAGAACATTATGATCATCCGAACTGTAATATTCACAGGTTTTCATATCATATTTCAGAGAGAACAAACCGAAGAATGGAGGGATCTGTGTGTCCAATCACACAACACCCATTGATGTCATCATCTTGGCTAATGACGGCTGCTACTCTATGGTAGAAAAGTGTGTGTGTTTCTGTGAGTGAATGTGTGTGTTTTCAGAGTAAATGATTATGACCAATTAGATATAAGTAGAGCTGTTGTTTTTGAGATGAACTTGTGCTGAACTGGTCTCTCAGGTCGGCCAGGTGCATGGAGGGCTAATGGGAATGATCCAACGAGCCATGGTGAAGTCCTCTCCTCACATCTGGTTTGAACGCTCAGAAGTCAAAGACCGACATCTAGTGGCCAAGAGGTAACAGTGCATCTTCTCTGTTAGAATCACAATCAGAAACAGGTTTATTACCAGGTAGGTTAACACATGCGAGGAATTTGATTTGAGTTGTGGTGCATACATAAAAGTAAAACAAAAATTAAAAACAAAGATAGAATACTATTTGAAGAAAACTATAATAACATTACAAAAATATAGACGTAGAAATATCAGCAGCTATTTTACATGTAGAATATGATTGAAATGCGTAGAAATTGAATTAGAATAAAATATGTGCAGTAAATGACAAACAAAATAATTGTAAATACATTGTGGCTTAATGTAATGCATAGCAGTCTATGATCGTGCCTGAGGTACAGTGCGTTGCTCTTCTACAGTAATACATTTGTCCACATGCTTCGTGTTGATACGCAAGACTGAGTTCGGAAGGCATTTAAGAACTATAACCACACATAGTATAGGCTATATATATACGAGTGATATTTGAACTTGAACTGGTCATGGGGGTATAATTTATAGCTGTTTGGGTCTATAAAAGCAGGGTGTAATATTGAATTTCATTTAATGGAAGCCTAGAGGTTAATCNTTTCAGATTTGTGAACAATATTTGAGAGAAATGGTTATTTTGTGTAAATAGAAAATGTTTTAGATCTTTGAGTTCATCTCATGAAAAATGGGAGCAAAAACAAAAGTGTTGCATTTATATTTTTGTTTATATATATATATATAGGGAGGCGTGTGGTACAGTGGGTTGAGCGTTGGTGATCAGATCAGGGGGTCACAGGTTCAAACCCCACTACAGTCAGCATGTCGTTGTTTCCCTGGGCAAGACACTTCACCCCAAATTGCTCCTGTGGGGATTGCCCACAGTGTGAGTATGTAAGTTGCTTTGGATAAAAGCGTCTAACAAGTAACATGTGAGGAAATATATCTGAGACCCATAATATATTGATGAAAAACAGTACAGGAAAAGGACTGAAATAATGCATTAATTATCAAAATAGTTAAGTACTGGCAGCCCTATTGGTGCACCTCTACAATGAAAAGTGTTCTGTTTTAGCCTGAGTGTGAAATGTGGTCAGTTTAATGCTAATGCAAGATCAAAGGTAATTTATTTTACAGCACAGAAGCCATTATGCATTGCTCTTATCACTGATGAACAACAGTCCACCAGCCAGAACATCATAGCCTCTGGTTCATTCCCAAACAGTACAATCATGTCTTTTATTCAGTGTAATAGAGCAGCTTTTTGACAGCATTGCAGTCATTTCTAGAAGTACATTTCATTAAACACCCAAGTCAGAGACAGACCCCTGTTACAGCAACACACATTATTCCACCTCTGCTGTGCCTGAAAATACAGCCAATTATTTGATAATTCAATAAATGTATTGTTGCTATTAATATTAATTACAATCATTAATTGATCTCGTTATTGCTTGTACAAATTGGTTTTGTAGACATTATGTAACGCAATAAGTTTGAATATGTTTGCAAGCATCAAATAAGTTTGTGTGGCAAATATTTATTCAGTTGGATGAGGCGAGTTGCTCTGTGTGTACAGCTGTAGTCCCGTTCAAATCATGCTGCCTAAATTGTTATTTTTTCTTGTGCAGTTGAATTTCTTATTTCTAAATAACCAGGAAAACACTTTTACGATATTTGAAATCCACCCTATTGTTCTAAAATCGGCTATTCTGAAACCCAGAGAAAGAGAGGATTTTGTATTATTGATTCTTACTGTATATTTAATATTCCAATGGGGCCAAAGAAGCAATTTAAAGCTCCAAATATTTAAACATTTCCCAGACCAGTCACACTGCTTACCTCACAGCGACTGTATTGACAAAGGGTTTCATTTCCTGATACCTGAGGTTATATGAGATGATTCATTCTTATCTATGACTCAAGGGAGGATTACACTTGTACATTTCTTAGTTGAGGAGTAATGAGGAATTCACCCACATGTATTGACACTAAAATGTAATTTGAAAACAGCTGGAAGAGAATCCGTCTTAATCATGAAGGGTCACACATATTGACTTTGATCTTCCACATTTTATAAGGACTATTTATTCATTAAAAGCAGTTTCAGGAGGTCCTTATGGTTTACGTTTGTATTTTTTAAAGCCGACCGAGTAATAGCAGGAACTGCTTCAAGCCCAGTTGAGGAAATTGTTTCATGTTATTCCCCCTTTCTCTCCCTTCATTTCCTGTCAACTCTTTGCTTTTCCATCTCATAAAATGAAAATGTGCCCTTAAAGAAACAAGGTCTGTGGATTATCATGAGTAAGTGGGAAATTGTTACTACTTTTTTAATTAATGTACCACACCAAACTACAAAAAGCGGTTCACTTTCATTTCGAGCTGCAACTAATCATTTATTTATCTGCTGATCTGCACTTTTCCTGATGAAGTGATTAATCATTTGTCTATGAAGCGTCAATAGTTAAATGCTGGCTTAGAGGCAAGGCTTTACATTTGAGAAGCTGAACAGGAGAATGTTCTGCTTGTATAATGGAAATGTGTCAAAAGATGAAATGATTACTAAACAAAAATTGCCCATTAATATTCTGTTGACCGCTCACTCCTTTAAATCTAATTGTTTTGGCTCGACTTCCATAACATCTTCAAACCTATGGGCTAGGTTGCATTTATTTATGGGTGCTGCAGGACATTTTTAGTGTCTCTGGAGATCACACATCGATGTTTGAGGAGATGAGACATGGGTCCCATGTGAAGAGTGGGTTATCCCTCTCACAACCTTTGACACATCAGGACATGTCTTGATTTAGACCCTCACCCTCCCACTTCTCCACACAGCAGCCAAATCCAAGGTAATGGAACAGATGAAGATGTCAGGGGTGCTCTGATAAAGCACCCCTCGTCTTTGTAATGGGGATAATCAAAACCTACAGGGCTCCAAAATAACCTGCAGTGGATGATGTAGCTCATACAAAACTAAGCAATGTGGCACTGATAGGGCTGGGAGTTGTGGCTTCTAAATAAGTCATTTCATATCTAGTTTTTCAATAAATAAAAAGTCAATATTGAACACATTAAAGCCTGTTTTTGAAACGCATTTGTATATTAATTGTTGGCCAAATAAAATATACTGACTTGTGAGTGAGTTGAGAAAATTATATATATGTGAAATTAAAGAGAAAACATGTATAACTATAAACCAGGCCATCAGTAATAGAAAATGGATATGATAAACATTGTATATATTTTTGGGTATATATATATCATAATATTGCCAAGCCATGCACAGGTTACAAGTTGCTCATGCAAACAAAATGTTTTGGTGCCACTTTGGGTGGCTGTATGACGTGTTCAGCGCAAACATCTTCAAGCAAAGAGGCTAGAAAAGGGTGGTGTTTTCACAGCCATAATCACTCATTTGAACTCGTAAATATGTCACATATATAGAGCATCAAAGTGTCATGACCGCCTCAGAACCTGAGACCTGACAGAGAAGCTAATCTCCCTCTGGACGGCACACATTATGCTCCAGGATGTAGACTAACTCGTCATTACAACTGTTCACCTGAATGCTTTTTATCTTTCAACACCAATACTCACACCAACTTCAACAGCTGTACACACAGAGCAACGCACGTTCATTCAACTGAATACATATTGGTCTGATTTGTTGCTTGGAAAACTAATTCAAACCAAATGCATCACATTGTTTGTACACAACTGTTAGTACAAGCAATAACATAATTAAATGATGATTTAAATCACAAACAATAGGCTTACAAATGATTGAATAATGTGCCGTTTCGAAGAATTATACAGTATTCTGAGGTACAGTATTTTGAACAGCTGTATCAGGTGACTGTCTCTGACTTTATGGTATTAGGTTAAAGTCGTAAAGCAGCAAATGCAAACACCACCAGTAGAGAAATCAATAGGGAACAATAGAAGAGTCATTCAAAACTAATTCCATATTTATTATGAAATGACAGCAGGGACTCGGCTTTTGGAACTTGTCGTTGGTTTGAAACCCACATCAAGAGAAGTTGATTATATCCATTCTGTTTACAAGCGATTTGGGGAAATTATATAAATGGTGAGTGGATAATGTTCCAAAGGAAAAACCCAGCAACTGTTCCAGAGGTTCCACGGCACTTCCCAAAAATTGCATGACAATCGGTATTTAAAATAAAATGTCATGTAAACTACTTTAATTGTCGGGCCAGCCACAGTGGCTGCTCAGCCAATCACACAGCTTCTCCTCCAGTTCCAACCAACACTGCTGCCGATGCTGTGTGTTTAGAGGCCAATTTAAGCTTTCACCAGAAGCCTATAGGATGTGTCGTTAAAGCATAATATGAGCAGCATTTACAGGAAAAGGTCACAGATTGTCATTAAGCATATCATTATGCATGCAAAACTTTCTTTGCCCAAAAACCGCAATTAGTCTCTGAAACTCAGCGTGCACTGATAGAAACCTGCTTGATTGAGAAAAGAAATCCAACTGAACAAAAACTTCACTAAATCAGAGTATAATCTTTACTCGGGCCATTTGATGTTGAAATTTATTTGTACAAATCAAGTTGTGATAGTTAACGTGTACATGGTATTTGTCGGGCTATCACTACCACATAAACACACTAGAAGAAATTAACACTTTTAAAAACTGTGCGTGAATCAATGAAGTTGCACCTTTGAAGAACATTGATTTCTGGAGGCTTATTTTGAAAGATGGATTAGCCATCAAATCATTTCAGCGAGTACATTTTTTACTTAAGTTATGAAAATGTATGGCTGACTGGCTTTCAGAAATCTAATAAAATATGATCTGATGTAGAGATATTGATAGACTTGGAAAGCAGCATTCAGTGCGGTATGTCAGTTTAAAAGACTACAAACTGGACTGGAGTTTGAATGAGCTTTGCTCTTATGAAAAACTGCAATGTTCGGCATGGAAATATTGATGATTCCTCAACACAGCTTTCAAAACATGAAACATCGCTTCATTTCCTGCCATGCAAACAGTCTGAATAAATAAATAATGCTTCAGCACATCCAAATATATTGTTTTCATATTGCACTTTGAAAGACAAACTCTTACAATGCATCCATATAAATGAGAGCGCAGAGGCTCTTTTCTTCTCACCTACTTCCACACTGTCGTATCACTCTGCTATCAGTCACTCCTG